CAGGGAGGCCTGGCGTGCTGCAGTTCATAGGGTCACAAAGAGTCAGACAGGACTGAGTGAACTGAACTGAAAATACCCTCAATGACATACCGACCAATACAAAATGCAAAGGTTTTAGGAAAGCCTGCAATATGTTCTTCTTTTAAATGAGAAGACTTTAGAGTCACTAAATAAGAAAGGTAGTCATGGGGCTAAAGGCAAAGTTATTGAGTTTATAATCGATTTTCAGGCTATTCAATAATCATAAACGATCTTAGCAGCTTTAAGACATACCTTTCGAGATTTGGCAAAGAGTGCTAGTGGCACTTAAGCAATTTCTGTGTAAAAGAAAAGTCAGTTTCTCTTTCTGAATGTTTTGCTCACTGGCTGTATCTTTCACTAAATATTTACACCCCCAAACCTGAATTTTAAGTTCCAAAATGCCAAGATAAACTTTCCTCAATTATATCACAGTTCATAACATTCAGGAGTTGCAGGCCATCTGCCCTCCAGGTATTTTAATGCCTCAGTAAGTCCTAATGGTTGCATAACAGGGTTATTTGTACTTGTCAGTTAATTCAAGATGACTACTCTTTTTCTTTCCACTTCCTCATCCACCTTTCCAGAACTTCTCTGTTTTCGAGCTGCTACCCCCTACTTCTCTACGTGGTGGGGGTTAATCGCTCAGTCGTGTCCGACTCTTGCAACCCCATGGACTGTAGTCCGCCAGGCTCCTCTGTCCATGTGATTCCCCAGACAAGAATACTGGAGTGGGTCACCATTCCCTTCTCCAACTTCTTTACGTGTCTCTTCATAAGCACTGTTCTAACTACTGCCCACAAGCAATAGAGAGCTGATGCCAGGAAAAACCTAAAAGCTAAACTCACCTCAGCCGGTCGATCAAAAAGTCATCCTAGTGTCTCGCTAAATATTCTCTCAGTTTAATTTCCTTCTTTGGCTACTTACGCTTCATGAGTCAATGACTCAGCTACTCGCCTTTTGCAATATGTTTGTGGCCAAAATTATTCTTTGAGAAGAGAGCAGGTGAAAGACGGGCTTTTCCTCAGAGATTCTGGCTGTTTCGCAGCGGATGTACAAATGAGAAACACCCCAGAAGGGAGACGATCACAAACGGAGGTGTGGAGAAGCCCTCACTGGAGAAGACGCCTTCACTGGAGAAGACGCCCTCACTGGAGAAGACGCCCTCACTGGCGGAGAAGCCCTCACTGGCGGAGAAGCCCTCACTGGCGGAGAAGCCCTCACTGGATGTAACGAGTGGCAGTTTACAAGACAGCTCGTGGCCGGCCAGGCGCCAGGGAGCCTGCGCATGCGCCGCCCCCTCTCCCGCGCCCGCTCTCGCGCAGGCGCAGGAAGGTCCGGGAGCGCGGGGTCGCGAGGCTGCCGTTGGAGCTCTGCGCTGCCTGAGGAGCCTGAGGGCTGGCTGGGTCCCGGGCCCCTTGATCTTTCCAGGATGCCGGCTCGGCGGGGTCTGGGGACCTGGCCGTGAGGGCGCGGCTAGCAGAGACCCGCCCCCAGAGCCGGGCCTGGGCACTGGCGGGAGGACCCAGGCTGGACAACTGCTCCGGGGCAGGGCGACCTGCCGGCGCCGGGCCCCCCGCCTTAGCCAGGGCCTGGCCAGGGACGGCGAAAGGACCGTGAGCAAGTAGAATGAGGGTAATGATGCCTCTTTGCTTTTGCGCTTTGTTAAGTGTTGAGAGCCCCAAGGAGGCACAGAGACAGAATCCAGTGCCTCCTCACGCCCACCCCCTGTTCTGTTCTGTCCTTGTTCCCACTGTCTGCGGAGGCTGGGACTCGCCCTCCCCCCACCACCCGCACAACCGGCCTCCTTGTTTTCCTTTTACCTGTAGTTGGTTTATAATATTGTGTTGAGTTTCACGTGAACAAGAGTGCGCTTTGTTCCCTTTGCTGTATGTAAAGTGAATCCTCGTTTATCTATTTGGTGTACAGTGGCGTCTGTCTATTAATCTTGCCCTCCTCACTTAACCTTCTTGCTCCCTTTTCCCCTTCTAACCCCCGCCCCCATGTCTGTGAGTTTGTTTTGTAAGTAAGTTGATTTGTACTGGTTTTTTTAAAATTCCCCCAAGAAGTGATACATATGTCTTTCAATATCTGACTTGCTTAACTTAGACCGATAATCCCTAGGGCTTCCATGTTGCTAAAGATGCATTTTAGTATTATTTTTTAAGGCTGAGTAATATTCCATTGCATATATATACATATATGTGTATATATACATGTGTGTATAACATCTTCTTATCCATTTCTTTGTTGATGAACATTTAGATGTTTCCATGTCTTGGCTACTGTAAATAGTGCTGCTATGAACATCTTTATGAATTAGTTTTTTCTCCAGATATAGGCCAAGGAATGGGGTTGCTGGGTCATATGATATCTCTGTTCTTAGTTTTTTAAGGGAAGTTGAGACTGTTCTCCATAGTGGCTGCACCAATTTACATTCCCACCAACAGTGTAACAGGGCTCCCTCTGGAGCTGGGTTTCTGCACATTCTCTCCAACATTTATTATCTGTAGATTTTTTGATGATGGTCATTCTACCTGGAAGGAGGTGATTAATATCTCATTGTAGCTTATTTAATAAAGTCTGAGTCTCTTGGTCACAGTGCAGGACTGGCCTTGGCAGACAGAAATGAATTCCTGGACTTGGGGGAGCTCACACCGACCTTGGGAACCAGTCCTGAAAATCACAAGTTAAGACTACGCGGTGATAGGAAGTATGCACAGAATGTTAGGGAATCAAGGAGAGGAATATCTTAACAGACTCATGAAGCAGAGGAGGCTTCCCGGAGAATATTGCTGCTGCCACTGTTAGGGCTCAAACTAAGGGAGTGGCCAGGATGAGGCTGAAAAGGTGGGCAGAGAGCAATTCATGAAGGGCTTTATGAGCCCGGCCAAAGAATTTGAACTTTATCCTGAAGACCTTTAGGAGTTGCAGCCCTGCTAAAGGCACTGAAGATGGAGAAATGGTTTCTCCACATGAGCTTTCTGTAATTGTTCCAGAATTTCTGTAGCACTAATAGAAATTGGTAGCACTAATTTAAGGGGTGAGGATGTGGTTGAGAATAATGGCGAGGGGCTTTCCTGTAGCTGCTTTTTGGCTTAGTGATGGATCACCAGAAGATAAAAATAAATAAATCGTTAATTTTCTTTTTATATTCTACTTTTAGTTTTTAACTGGGTTGTAGAGTAACCACATGTAGAATTTTTTCTTTAATTTCTAACCATCATGTATTGTAGGAATACATTGCAGCATTTCTTACTCTCTTCCTTCGGTCAGTTAAGCTGAGGATTTTTAACACATAATTTTTTTTCTTGGTATTTTAGTGAATACTTCATTTGGAGTGGTTTTGGTGGGGGCCTGATGGCAGTTATAATGATGCTAAATATTCTACTTCCCAAGTCAGTCATGGTGCTTCCACTATAAACTGTGAAAAGGCTTTTTTCTATACATACAAAAAGACTTACTGTTTTTATCATCTTTATTTTACCTGCAAGGGGCCAAGTAATAGCAGTCTAGATGTGACTTTCCTTCATCCCTCTCTGCGTGCACTCTCTCATGGTTTGTCTTTAGGCGTGATGGAGCGGTTATCTGCGCCGCTCGCAGGCCTGCGCTCTTCCTCTGGCGTTTCTCGAGGGACGTTTCAACACAGCAAGCTTAGTGGCTACAGTTCGGTTATTAAAATCCCGTGTCTCTGTTTGCTCTCACGGTTCTTGTATTCTTACCTAACTCTGTCTGTTTCTGTGCTTTATAGAATTAAGAGACATTCAGGAAATCAAATTTAGAACCCAGAGTTTCATTAAAATAATCAATTCTTGAGATTTTAAGGGTGCAAGGAATGACAGATCATTTAGTCAAACTCTTCTCTCATTTCTGCAAGGTCCAAGGAGAGTTTTGAGATCATCTGTTAGGTGACCACCTGAGTGGCTAAGTGACATAACTCATGTTTTTGGCCTAAGTATGCCATGTTAGAAGATACTAAGCAGTGTTATTCCAGATCCTCAAGTGGGTGAAATCTCAGAAGGAGATGCATTTAGCCAGGTTTTTAATGTTCATATAAGTAAGAAAGTGATTTAAGCACAACGGGAAGCTGCAGGAATAACAGAGCGTTTAGGATTGTGGAAGCAACTTTAATAAGTTGTCCGATGGAAGAAAAATCCATCTTATAGAAATAAGAATTAGGTAGCAAATATATGTCAGGGGAAGGAAAGTCACAAGCCCATGATGAATTTAAGTCCAAGAATTTGGCTTTAAAAATGCAAACATGGCATTATGAGTTACATTGAATTGATTATGGATTGTAAATGAACTAGTAAAAGCTTTACTAAGGTCCTCTAGTACTAGTCCTATTCCCTGCTACGGCTGCTGCTAAGCCACTTGAGTCGTGTCTGACTCTGTGCAACCCCATAGACGGCAGCCACCTATCTCCCCCGTCCCTGGCATTCTCCAGGCAAAAACACTGGAGTGGGTTGCCATGTCCTTCTCCAATGCATGAAAGTAAGAAGTGAAAGTGAAGTTGCTAAGTCGTGTCCAGCTCTCAGCGACCCCATGAACTGCAGCCTACCAGGCTCCTCTGTCCATGGAAGTCTCCAGGCATGAGTACTGGAGTGGGTTGCCATTGCCTTCTCCAGTCCTATTCCCTAGGTTTTCTTTATACTTCATAATCCAGAGACACTATTCACTACTCAGAGAAAATATGTGTAATATTGTATATATCAAAATATTTTAGTCAAAGGGAGGCTTTTCAGTTCTGGAGACCTAACTCAAAACAGGTGAATGCAAATTCCTTCTAAAAAAGCAAGGAGAGAAGAAAATGATTGTTCAGAGTTTGGGAAAGTAATTGCAAAACAGTAAGAAAAGAAGTGACCTTAAGTATTTTCTTTGAGCAAAGCTTGTATTTCTGTTTTGTACTGTTTTGTAGAAGTTTGCTAACAGAGATATCACCAGAGATTAGAGACATAATCATCTAGAGGAAATGCGGTAGTATGGCTGTATGTGCATGTTGTACAAAAGTCTCTGAAGCAGATTCTCTTGTTTTAGCGGTAAGTAAGACTTACTTTAACTAAATTCAAGATCATGCACTATTTCTATTTAGTAATGGTAAAGTATCTGCCTGCAATGCAGAAGACCAAAATCTCAAGGATTTTGAAATCTAGTAGAGGATTTTCTCCCAGTCAAATCTAAAGAACCTTTGAAAATGATCTTTTCTCCCAAATCTGATGCAGAGGAAACCTTGAAGTCTGAATCTAAATGCATAAGATTGTTATCCCCTCAAAGTGGGTTTCTATGCAAAAATTTTTCTCTAAAACACATCTTTAATATTAATCAGTTGTATTTATGTGCTTCATAGATCACTTGCTTTACAAAGAAATAAAGAACTGAAACTATTAAACTTAAAACATTAAATAGCTTCCTATTAATATTTGGAATATTAGCTTCCTTTAATATTAATCAGTTGCATTATGTGTTTCATAGATCATGTGTTTTGCACAGAACTGAAACTACCAAACTTAAAACATTAAATAGCTTCCTATTAAAGTTTATATGGAAGTGAAAGTTTATATGAAAGTGAAAATAATGTATCCTCTGAAATTTTTAAAGAGGGATTAAAAATGTGATTTAGTATTTGAAATATTGTTTACATATAAATTCAGAAATCTACTGGTACATATTTACTGGGATTATAATTGCTTTTTAAAAACTGAAGTTGAGTAATAATTCTCCCTGACCCTAACCTATCCCCTATCCAACAGAAAGACCTTGGGCAAGTAAGTCTGCTTTGGGTATTCTTTGTATCTCTGTGTTGACTCTACCTCATCTCAGCATGCTTGTGAAAAAGATCCATATCAAGTGTGCCTTGAATGAAGTACCCTCAGTATTCTCCTGACATGTCATTACTTGATAGAGAGGATAGCCAGCAGTAGAGTCAGATTGTCAACTTTCTTACAGGAGAATTCACCAGAATTCCTACTGAACAGTCTGATGCTCCAAGTATGGTTCATTCCTGTTGGGTAAACCTCAGTACTTCCTGGTTAGGGCCCTCTTTTTAGACTAACCAATCCAGGAATTTCATGGTTATGTGCATTTCTATTTTACTACCATCTTTTGTAAAGACTTTGTATTTTTTTTATAGTTAACACTTATTGGAATTGTTATAAATTACATGGTTTCAATACTAATAGCATTCTCTTCCCATAGGCTATCCAGATTATGATTGGCATCTTTTGTGTTTTCATGTGGTATCTCCTATTGATTTTGTATATGGGACAAATTAAAGGAGTCTTTGGGACATATGAACCTATAACTTACAAAACAGGATGTTCTTTATGGGGAATTGTTGTGAGTAGAATGCATTTTTTAATTAAATCATTCAGTAAATAATACGCATGCCACTAGTAGAACATAGGAAGAGTTTCTAAAGTTTTCAGGAGAGTTAAGTAACTAAATCCCATATTGATAACTCAAAGTCAGATCCCTTTTTTAAAACAAATATTTATTGAGCATCTTTAACTTGCCAGTGCTGTTTAAGAGACATTGATATAGGACTGAATACACAATGACAACCATAGGCTGGATTGTCCTTAGATATGTTAACATATCTATACAATTACAGAATTGTAAGCATAAGCTCCATTAGTATGGTTAGTTTTCATGTTAGGGTCTTTGCCTTAGGGTCCTCACACAATGAGTCTATATTCACACGATTTTAAAATTTTTCGTCACCTGCACTCTTCTGTGGTTTCTTATAGCCACAAAGTAATAGGAAAGTCTAGAGAGTGTGACATCCTGGAAGTCAAGTAAACAAAGAATAGGGAAAGACCAATTATATTAATTCTGTTGTGTTGTCAAATCAGAGAAGGGCTGAGAATTGACCATTGGATTTAGCAATATGAAGGCCAATGGTAAGCTTGACAGATAGTTTCAGTGGAAAGTGGGGCAAAAGCCTAACTGGAATTGATGTAAAAAATAATGAAAGGAGAGGAATTAGAGACAGCAAATACAGACAGTTTGTTTAAGGGCTTTGGTGTAATGTGGTGTAGAGCAATGAGGTTGTTGAGGGAAACTTGAGTCAGGAGAGGGTTAGCTTATTTGTTTCAGTAAGTTGTTCCATGTCTTTTGTTGAGGGGACTGAACCAGAAGAAAGTTGATGATAAGTGATGGGGAAGATTATTAGAATCATGGACTTATACGCAAGAAATGAATGCCTTTTAATACACAAACAGGAGCGTGGATAGTTCTCCTCTAGCAGTGGTTCTCAGCTAGAGGTGATGTTTCCCCTCAGAGGACATTCGGTGGTAGCATTGTTAGTTTTCACGGCTAAGGGGTGTACATCCAGTGGGCAAGTCAGGGATGCTGCTGAACATCCTACACTGCAAAGGACAGCCCCCAACAGAGGGTTACCCACCTTTAATGCAAATAGTGTCAAGGCAGGTAACAGGAAGGAAGGTAGAGGAATAGAGAAAAAGGACAATTTTCAGGCCATTGGGTATTGGGAGCTTGTGGAACTTTCCTTCTGATGGCCTCAACTCTTTCAGTAATTTAGAAAGCAGGATCATGCTCTGAGAGCGTGAATGGAGAATGGATTGGTTGGTTGAGGTGGGAGAAGAGAATGAGGAAATGGTCACCTAGGAAAAATGAGAGTGTGCATGGATTGTGGAAAAGCAGTGTGACTTTCATGCGGCATTAAAGACTCAAGCTTTTGGAACATGATTACATAGTGTGATGCATCAAGATAGTTATGCACATCTGTCTCAGGTCATGTTCAGCCACATGGGTGCAGGCATGTAAGAAGAAGGAGAACTATGTTTAATCAAAATTTTGGCCTGTCCATATAACTGTAATCAAGAAAGGTGCAGAGGAGTTGAGAATGTAAAAAAGTGAGTGTTTTTAATAGCTTGTCATAGAATTTAAACTGGTAAAGGAGAGAATATAACAAAGAAGTAAGGGGCTCAGATTATACATCCACATGGGGTCAGTGGAAAGTGGATTATTAGAATTGTAAAACTGCAGGGCATGAGTTGATGGACAAAGGGGGATAATTAACATGGAGATTTGAAAGGTGTTACTATTCCCAGGTGGCGCTAGTGGTAAAGAATCCATCTGCCAATGTAAGAGATGCGGGTTGGATCACTGGGTTGGGAAGATCCCCTGGAGGAGGGCATGGCAACTCACTCCAGTAATCTTGGATTCTCCTGGAGAATCACTATGGACAAAGGAGCCTAGCAGGCTGCAGTCCATGGGGTCGCAAAGAGCTGGACATGACTGAGTGACTAAGCACGCAGAAAGAAAAGTGACCAAGGTGAGGGATCAGACTTCAACCAGAAGAGACAGTGGGTGATAGCATCTGATGACATCTGATTCAAAGCTGGAGGAGAGAGCATGGTTGGAAGGAACAAGGGAACCACTTACCCATGCTTAGAACCAATGATCGGAAGGCAGTAGGAGATCAGACGCCACCATTTGCTAGGGCTGTGAAGGAGCAAGATGCCTTTAGGAGCGCCTCTGCCTTTGTATGTTGGCTTACAGATGTCAAAGCATTGCCTTGGAAAACAACAGCAGAAAAATAGTGAATTTGCGGGTAAAATCCAGATAAATTATTGCTGTCCTTCAGTGTTTCTAATCATCATGTTATAAAAATAGCAGTTATCACCTATATTGAGTTATCTAAAATTTCAATTAAGTACAGTTTAATTCAAAACTTCTCATTTAGGTCATAAACATTGAAAGGCCTTTTGTAAAGCACATAGTTTGGTAACCTAGTTAGCACTAGTTTAAAATTCACAAGGTATTTTCACTTTGTATTCTGAACTAGTTGTTACCTGCACTTTGTCTTCTTGGAAATCTCAATTTTGCTACAGAATGAAGTGCTGTGTATGTACCCTTAAGTGATCCTCCAGTAGTTAGTAAACCTCAAGTGTGGCCTTTCTATGGGAAGGTATACCCCTATACTATGGGGTATAGTATGAATACTGTTTTTCTACAAATTAGCCTTTAACTTAGATCTTTGTCAGTCATTAAAACAGATAAGACAGAAAGAATATTTCAAAGGGATTGTGCCGCCCACTTTCAAACAATAAGGCATAGCTTTACGCTTCTGGGAAATAGACAGAGTAGCCTGGTATGAAATAATAGAACTTCTTTTTATAAAGTAAAGGCAAAAATAGGAATAACATCTGTTACCTTAATAATGCCTACAATCTCAGTTAAGAGATATATTTTGTACAAACAGAAGTTGGAATATAGATTCATGGACTACTTTTTCACATCCGGATATATACATAGTAATCATAATCAGTAATAGCATCTCAGTCAGAAGTATAGCATTAGAAGTAAAAATTGAATGAGTTTAGAAAGCATGTGCAGATACAAGCAAACTTGGTCCCTGATTCAGGACTGCTTAAGTCATCTTTGGCATATTCTACATCCCACTGTCTGAAGTATGCACACTGTCCCCTATATGTTTCTATTATTAGTGATCCTACTGTTATCTTCATTACTATAGATGTAAACTTGTCCTAACCCCTTCTACTGAAACTTCTTTGTATTATTCTACTCTGACTATTCTAAAAATAATTGACTTAGAAGAGGGAATTGTTTAAAATATATTTTAAGTTGAGCATTATCAATGAGTATTTATAAATATATGTTTTTATATTCAGTTTATTATTTCAGGAATCACCATAATAAGTGTAACAAGGCATCCATCTCAACGCCAGGTAAGTTAAAATGTTTAGTGTACACTAGAAATCCCTTGTCACAAAGCTAAGTAGGTTTTAATGAAAACATAGTGGGCCTCTAAACAATAAAGGAATCTACCCTATCTGTAAAATAAATGAAGGAGTTAAATGAAAATCTAGGAGCATATAATTTAATGTAGACAGGTATGCTATATTAGAGTCATAAAGGTTTCTAAGTTTAAGTATAGAGGTCTTTTGTTTTTTTGGTTTGGTGTTATACCTTTTTTTAACCTTGTATGAATTTTACTGTTAGAAGAAAAATTTAATAAAACTCAGTGAGTTTATAAATAGACATAATACTGTTGTAAAACTTCATTTTCCTAACTCTAATTTGGGAACACAACTGTACCTTGTAACAAAATAGAAAATCTGTTCAGAATAAAGATCCATCTATATTATAGGTAGAAAGATATTGAGAAGGAAAATAATCTTAGAATCTCAGAGCTAAAAGATACCTTAGAGATGAACTAGTCTACTCTTGTGGTTGTAGAGATAAAAAACTAATATCCAAAGATGTTGATGGATTTCCCTAGAGAATTAAAACCCTGGGTTAAAATTCATTGAATCCTATTCAGCCTGTTTCTACAAGCAGTCATTTTTCATCTTTTTTCTCTTTGATGTGGAACTCCTTTTGTTCAAATCATTTATTATAAGGCTTTCTTCCAAATGACTCAGAAGATTGTAAGAGATAATATTTTTGAGCCCAAATGGAAGATTTGTGCTTATTGGTATGAAGATGCTTTGATATTCACTCCAAATTAATCAGGTTTCATATAAACCAGAGAAGGCTTTCACTCTAATGGCACGTATAACAGCACTTGTAAAGCTTCAGAATCTAGATCAAAGTTTTAACTAGATTTCTTTTTCAGTAATACACCTATTTAACAAAATCATTTATTCTGAGTATTATTCTTTTTAGCTTACCTATGCTATGCTTATGAACATCTTATGCATAATTGTCGCAATTATTTCAACGATTCTAACAGTGGTTGAGTTGTCTTCGTTTGAGTCTGTGTCATACAGGAATTATGGACAAGCGGTGAGTGACCAGTTCTGTGGGAACATCTTAATTTCAAAATTATTCTTTTCAGAGGTTTTAAAACCTTAGGAGGTAAAATAAAGCTTTCATTCATCCCCGTGAAATTCTTTGATTTAGTAGTAAGCTTTGACTGAAAGTTTTAATTAAAAAATTACTCAACATAATTTTTTGTAAATACTAATAGGATGTTTGAATTCCTGATATGTCCAATGAAAACTAAGTAAAAATTTTAAAACTTAAGTGATACACACACACACACACACGTTAGGATGATTCTCTTAAAGAAAAGTATAATCCAAGGCTTAAAACCTATCCCAAAATCAGCAAAAGAATTCTGATATTGATGCATATGGTTGGAATTATATAAAGCTACTCATTTCTAGATTAATATAGATATTTTCATTTATAGCCTGTTTTTTGTATCTCACGTGAATTTTACTCTAGGCCCTCAAATATCAAATGTGCATGAATCTGCATTGCTTCCATTTAATTGTCTAATCACATACTTTGTCCTAGAGAAGTAACTGTATTTCTAAGATAGTAACATTCTCCAATAAATGTGAATATCTTTACTGATACTATAATAGATTTATTTCAGTTGTGTTGACTTTAGATTCAGAATCACAGAATATTAGTGCTGCAAAAGACTTTAGTAATAATTACAGAAATATTCCATTTAAAATGAGAACAGATTGGAGTGGAGCTCCTCTTTGTTACTTAACAATGGAATAAAACAAATAACAATTTGGAAATTTTAATTTAAGATAATCTGAGTAGAAGGTCATTACGAGTGAGGGATAAACTTCCCCTGTGTACCCTCTCTCCATACCTGCAGTATATGATAAAGGAAGACTGGAGGAATCAGATTAAAGAATCCAAACGTGGAATACAAAAGTCTAGAAGACAACAAGATAGTGAGAGGAGACACAGTAGTAGCTCCGAATAGATTGTCAGTCATGAATGATGTATTGATTTAAATAAGCTGCATTAGATTTCCCCTGTAAACTATAAGAAAATTTCCATTGGCCCTGGAAATCCAAATCTAGCAATCTTTCATTCTAACTTCAGGGGCAGAGAAGGGGGAGGGATAGAATTTAAGTATAGAATTGTTTCAAGTTATTTCAACTTACCCCTCTTATTCATAAGCTTATAATCTTAGTTTAAGATATGGCATAATTGCCAAGACTTAGAGAATCCACCTTCAATACTGGAGACCTGGGTTCGATCCCTGGGTTGGGAAGATCCCCTAGAGAAGTGAACGGCTACCCACTCCAGTATTCTGGCCTGGAGAATTCCATGGACTGTATACTCCATTGCGTTGCAAAGAGTCAGACACTATTAAGTGACTTTCACTCACTCACTCACTACCTTTTGCAAACAGTATTACAAACTGTTGTATACTGAATTTATCTGACATAAATTCAATACTAATGATCAGTTTCACAGTCTCCCAAACATAAAAATTTCAATTTTATTTGTTGTGATTAATTACACAAAATGAACTTATATACAGTATCTTTTCCTAGAGGCATTATAGAATTATATACCTACATTTTCTATATTTTTTACCTTTTCATACTGTTCATGGGGTTCTCAAGGCAAGAATACTGAAGTGGTTTGCCATTCCCTTCTTCAGTGAAGCACATTCTGTCAGACCCCTCCACCGTGACCTGTCCGTCTTGGGTGGCCCCACAAGGCATGGCTTAGTTTCACTGAGTTAGACAAGGCTGTGGTCCTGTGATCAGATTGGCTCGTTGTCTGTGACTGTGGTTTCAGTCTGTGTGCCCTCTGATGCCCTCTCTCAGCGCATACTGTCTTACTTGGGTTTCTCCTACCTTGGACGTGGGGTGTCTCTTCACAGCTGCTCCAGCAAAGCGCAGCCACTGCTCCTGGCCTAGGACGTGGGGTAGCTCCTCTCGGCCAGTCCTGTGCCGTCGCAGCTGCCGCTCTGCAACACCCAGTTGTGAATGGGACTGGTGATAGAAGCAAGTTCTGATGCTGTGAAGAGCAATATTGCATAGGAACCTGGAATGTTAGGTCCATGAATCAAGGCAAATTGGAAGTGCTCAAACAGGAGATGGCAAGAGTGAACATTGACATTCTGGGAATCAGCAAACTAAGATGGCCTGGAACAGGTGAACTTAACTCTGATGACCATTATATCTACTACTGTGGGCTGGAATCCCTTAGAAGAAATGGAGTAGCCATCACAGTCAACAAAAGAGTCCAAAATGCAGTACTTGGATGCAGTCTCAAAAATGACAGAGTGATTTCTGTTTGTTTCCAAGGCAAACCATTCAGTATCATGGTAATCCAAGTCTATGCTCCAACCAGTAACTCTGAAGAAGCTGAATTTGAATGGTTTTCTGAAGACCTACAAGACTTTTTAGAGTTAACACCCCAAAAAGATGTCCTTTTCATTATAGGGGACTGGAATGCAAAAGTAGGAAGTCAACAAACACCTGGAGTAACAGGCAAATTTGGCCTTGGAGTACAGAATGAAGCAGGGCAAAGGCTAACAGACTTTTGCCAAGAGAACGCACTGGTCACAGGAAACAGCCTCTTCCAACAACACAAGAGAAGACTCTACACATGGACATCACCAGATGGTCAAACACCAAAATCAGATTGACTATATTCTCTGCAGCCAAAGATGGAGAAGCTCTATACACTCAGCATAAACAAGACTGGGAGCTGACTGTGGCCCAGATCATGAACTCCTCATTGCCAAATTCACATGTAAATTGAAGAAAGTAGGGAAAACCACTAGACCATTCAGGTATGACCTAAATCAAATCTCTTATGATTATACAGTGGAAGTGAGAAATAGATTTAAGGGACTAGATCTGATAGACGGAGTGCCTGATGAACTATAGATGGAGGTTCGTGACATTGTACAAGAGACAGGAATCAAGACCATCCCCAAGAAAAAGAAATGCAAAAAAGTAAAATGGCTGCCTGAGGAGCCATTCACAGCTTATGAATAGCTGTGAAAAGAAGAGAAGGGAAAAGCAAAGAAGAAAAGGAAAGATATTCCCATTTGAATGCAGAGTTCCAAAGAATAGCCAGGAGAGATAAGAAAGCCTTCATCAGTGATCAATGCAAAGAAATAGAGGAAAACAACAGAATGGGAAGGACTAGAAATCTCTTCAAGAAAATTAGAGATACCAAGGGAACATTTCATGCATAGATGGGCTCAATAAAGGACAGAAATGGTAAGGACCTAACAGAAGCAGAAGAGATTAAGAAGAGATGGCAAGAATACACAGAAGAACTGTACAGAAAAGATCTTCACAACCCAGATAATCATGATGGTGTGATCACTCACACTCACCTAGAGCCAGACATCCTGGAATGTGAAGTCAAGTGGGCCTTAAGAAGCATCACTATGAACAAAGCTAGTGGAGGTGATGGAATTCCAGTTGAGCTATTTCAAATCCTAAAGATGATGCTGTGAAAGTGCTGCACTCAATATGCCAGCAAATTTGGAAAACTCAGCACTGGCCACAGGACTGGAAAAGGTCAGTTTTCATTCCAATCCCAAAGAATGCTCAAACTACCGCACAGTTGCACTCATCTCACACGCTAGTAAAGTAATGCTTAAAATTCTCCAAGCCAGGCTTCAGCAATATGTGAACCGTGAACTTCCAGATGTTCAAGCTGGTTTTAGAAAAGGCAGAGGGGCTTATTTGCGGGCCCTGCCACAGCTGACCCGGCTCTGCGGTGGAGACACGATGGTGGGCCGGAACAGCGCCATCGCCGCCGCCGTGTGTGGGGCCCTTTTCATCGGTTACTGCATTTATTTCGACTGCAAGAGACGGAGTGACCCCAACTTCAAGAACAGGCTGCAAGAACAAAGAAAGAAACAAAAGCTTGCCAAGGACAGAGCTGGGCTTTCCAAGTTACCTGACCTTAAAGATGCTGAAGCCGTTCAGAAATTCTTTCTAGAAGAAATACAGCTTGGTGAAGAATTACTAGCTCAAGGTGAATATGAGAAGGGTGTGGACCATCTGACAAATGCAGTTGTTGTGTGTGGACAGCCACAGCAGTTACTGCAAGTGTTGCAACAAACTCTTCCACCACCAGTGTTCCAGATGCTTCTGACTAAGCTCCCAACAATTAGTCAGAGAATTGTAAGTGCTCAGAGCTTGGCTGAAGATGATGTGGAATGAGAAACAAATATCAACATAATGATCTCAATTAAAACATATTTTTAAAATCTTAACCCGGAAGGTGATCGGCTCTGGGGGAGTAAGGGCAGATGAGCTTGTTATGGACTGTCCTCCACAGTGAAGTCTACCAAAGTTAATTTTTACTTTGTGTAGATCCATTTGTCTGTTTTATTTATTTTTCCCAGTGAAAACTGTATTTTGATAGAGAGCTTTTCATTTTATAAATACACTATGAATTACTGAAATATGCATTTTGTTTATTCCTAAAATGTGTAAATAGAATGTACATATCACATCCCATTACTTACATTAAAAATACCCAGTGCTCAGTTTTGAAAGATAGGCCCAAAAAAGTGTAGAAGAAAACTGAGGAGTATACTTGTTTTGCTCTACATCAGAAAGTTGGCTAGAAACTTGTGTTGATCAAAACTGAGCATTAAAATAAGAGATTATTTCTTTCCATTTAATCTCTTAAATATGTGTAATGTGCTGCTATGCTATAATAACAACTTCACCCCCACCCTTGAAATGTTTTCTTTGAATCAGTGGGTTTGATGTGTTCTGGATATTTATCTCCTTGTATTTTAGATACATGTAGTTGCAGATAGCACCAGGAATTAGATGTCTATACATTCTTAATCTGGCTGAGTAAGCTTTACCAGTTAATGTCTGCCCACTTGCCTCATATATAAACTGAGGAAATGGGTCTGCTAATTCAGCTTCTAATTCCTTTGGTTCTGTACAGCATTTTCAAATCCCTCTTTCTGAGGGAAATACCTGTTTGGGCCGCCAGCCCTTGCATTTTTTTATACTCTGAATTTTGCATGC